AGGGGTTTCCAAGCCGTGGAGATGTGGTGTGAGGGACATGGGGCAGTGGGGACCTGGCAGAGCTGGGGGAACAGCTGGACTCAATCTGAACAGTCTCTTGAACCCAAACAACTCTCTGATTGTCTGAACTGTCTCTCTGAGTTGCCAAGTGCTGCTCCTGTCCCCTCTCCTGTGTCCCTGGCACCCATCACTCATCCCATGCCCTGCGTGTGGAGTCCTTTGGGTTCGGCTGCCGGGTCTGCTGCCCACCCCCTCCCACAGCTCCTATTGACATCAGAACTTCCATCCCCTCCCTTGCAGGACGAGCGTTTGCCTGGGGCATGGGCACCAACTACCAGCTGGGCACGGGGGAGGAGGAGGACGTGTGGAGCCCCGTGGAGATGACGGGGAAGCAGCTGGAGAACCGCACGGTCCTGGCCGTGTCCAGCGGCGGCCAGCACACGCTGCTGCTGGTCAAGGACAAGGAGCAGAGTTGATGAAGTGGCCCCGTGCGGCCCAGCCCAGCGGGATCCCCGACCTTCTACCCAGCTCTGGAGACCAGTTTCCAGCTCTGGTCTCCCAGCAGTGGTGGTGGGGAGGGCAGGAGGGCCCCGGAGCTGGGCCCGGCCGGTGGCGGCGCGGGCGGAGCCGTTGGCTGGAGCTGGGCTCCTCGGGGAGGCTCCTGCTCCTCCCTCTGTGTCTGTCTTCCCGTGGTGCCCGGTGCTCTGTCAGCTCCCCCTGGTTGGCTTGGTCCTAAACTGGTGCTGTGGCTGGATGGGTTTACAGCTTCTCGTTTGTTTTGGGGTTTTGGACATTTCCTGGCTGGGCAAAGCTTTGTTCCTCCCCTCGCGGGAGGGTTTGGGCATCAGGCTTCCCGAGGCCCCTGCCTTCCCCAGCTCTGGGTGCTGCTCCATCCACATAACCCCACATCTCTGCCCTCCACGCTGGGTTTCTCTGCTGCCCACCAGCCCCCCCGTGGGCTCGTTGTGGGTGAGGCCTCAGTCCAGCAGCAGTGCTCCCAGGGAGCTCTTCCCTCACTCCCAGCGCTCAGGGCTGGGGTGGGGGAGAGATGCTGCTGGGCAGCCTGGGGGGGGGGA